TTACAAAACATATGCAAAACACAAGTAATCGATTTAAGGTTTTAATACTAGTTGTTCTAAAACTCAAATCACTAATGTAAAGTCATCCCACTGTTGTGCCTTAAACCTCTATGCCTTCTACTCTAATAGACTCAACTATCGCAGGCTATTACAAGGTGAAAACACGCGTTATATGTAAGATTCGATCGTTCACTAAACTCATTTACTAACCTATCGAATATTAAGACGCCTAGCTCATCAAATACTAGGTCCGGAGATATAAAAAAACTTTTGGAGAGTATATCAAACTAATATCAGTCCTGAATAGCGAAAATACACCTGAACGAAAATCAATTTATGTTTTAACCAGGTTTTGTAACTAGGCTTTTTATTTGAGAGATACAATATACAATTTACAAAGGCAAAGTACACCTTCTTTGCAATGTACCTTAAAAGTGTAAACAATCTACCACAAAGTACCAATGTATGTAATCAACGCATGTTAAGCAACTAGCAGACGTTCAGAGAACAGTGGCAATTTCACATGTTAAAACCGGAGAAAATAAACTCTAACCGAAAAAATTAAACTTAAAATCCCGGTTCATTATGCTCAGATCGACTCAGTAGCCAAACCTGATTTTTTTTTTTTTTGTACCATTGAAATAGTTAGTAATAAATTTTTAAAATGGGAATTTAGATCTCGCTAGTGGCTCGTTTCGCTGCTTGAGATCTCTCTTGGATCGGTCAAGGGCATAATCAAAGCAGAGAGCAGAGGCAATTCTCGTATCCCGTTTCTCTCTCGATTCCTTCGTATCTCGCTGCGCATGATCCAGTTTTATTCCGTTCGATTCAGTGTTTGATTTGGCTAATTTGTGCAGAAAATTGCTGTTGAAGACGCGAACAATTGGAAGAGGGAGGAAAAATGGCGGCGGGTGGATTTCTGACCCGAGCATTCGAGACGATGCTCAAGGAGTCTGGGGGAAAGAAGTATCCTGATCTCCAGAAAGCTATTCAAGCGTATCAAGGTTAGATCTCACTTTTGAATTGATCTGTGTTTCTTTTGGTCCGGGACGATCGTAGCTACCACTATCTGCTAGATGTTGGTGTATGTATTTCACTTGAATCTTGTCGCACAAGCTGAGTTATTCCAGTGAACTTTAGTATGGCGTGATAGGACAAGGCCAATGCTATGGAATTTCGGTTCTTCGCTGGCACTTAGGCCTTCGACCAACTTCTGGCTGTTAGTTTGTATCTGATACCTGAATGTGGACCTGTGACCATAGCTGCTACACATGAGAATAATTTAACTTCTTATTCGCTCGTTTCAGTAATTGGGTGACATAAGTTCTTCTAGGCTCCAATCAATCTATGATTTCTTGTACAAGAACTGGACATGGGTACATGATTACATAATGGTTTCCTTAGTTCTACGATAAGAAAAGTGAAGTCTGGTCCATTTTTACAAACTTTTCTACCAACTTTCATCTCTGGGGTATTGCTACTCTTAGCTACATGTGCTACTTAGATTATCAACTGATCTCAGTCAATGAGGTGATATTAGAAGTAGTATGAAGGATTTTTACTCCCTGTAATCCACCAATCACTGACTTTTAAACAAGTTTTCTCTAGTTTGGCCTTGGTCATATTGGCTACATATGATAGAAAATATGGCTGTGATAATTATTCTTTAGCTAACTATTTAGCGTCCATTTGTGATTTGTTTATAGACGGCTCGAAGGTTGTTACGCAAGCTGCACCCTCGAACATAGATGAGAGGTAATGACAAAACTACTCTTCCATTTTCTGCTAGATTGTTGGCTTTAACCCATCTTCAGGAGTTTCTGCTGAGGATTGAGTCTTCTCGATAGAAATTGATACTTACTTTGAATTTTT